TTTAAAATGCCAAGGAGGATTTCTAGAAGGCTTGAATAATTAATGAGGGATTTTCTATGGGACCCAGGTGAGGAGAAAAAGGATCATAGGGTTAGGTGGGATATGGTGAGCAGAAGTAAAGAGTGTGGAGGCCTAGGTTTAGGGAATATTCAGAAGGGAGTATTCAAAAGAGGAATGTGGCATTGTTAGGTAAATGGTTATGAAGGTTTCCCCTAGAGAAAGAGAAGTTGTGGGCAAAGATCGTAGAGAGTATTCATGGGCTCACAAGCAATGGATGGGATGCTGGAATTTTGGCTAGGAAGCTTCTCCATGGAATGCTGTCCAAGTTTCTCTGCCTCTCTTCATCCCGTGGACAAGGTATGATCTGCACTCCAGTAATCTCATTAAATTTTGGGAAGAAGTTCGGATTGGGGATTCTCCCTTGAAGGATCAGTTCCCTTCTCTATTTGCCTTGTCTAATCTGAAAAATAATCCTATTTCTAGTTTCTTGGCACCCTCACAAGCATCCTCAGGGTTTGGGTGGAACTTTGGTTTTAGAAGAGCAGTTAGGGAGTCAAAACTGAATAATACTTTCTCTTCTTAATATTCTTTAAGGAAAATTTTTATATCCCTCTAAATCAGATAGAAGGGTCTGGACTTTATTAGCCTCTGGTTTTTTTTTTTCTTGTGCTTCTTACTTCAAAGCTCTAGTTCATCCATTGGGTCAGTTAGGGCAGCCTTTTCCAGTAAAGGAAGTCTGGTGCAAACCGGTTCCTATGAAGGTTGGGTGTTTCTGTTAGGAAGCTATCCTGGAAAGAGTCAACACTTGTGATCTTCTTCAGAGAAAGAGACCTATGAGTTGTTTATCTCCCCACTGGTGTGTTCTTTGCAAGGCTGAAGGTGAGACTGGTTACCATTTACTGGTTTCCTGCTCTGTTACTAATCACATTTCGGAGTGGTGTTTATCTTTGTTTGGATGCAGATGGTCACCTCCACCAGATGTACAGAGCCTTTTTGCTCCATTCATGTTTAGCCGGTTGAAAAAAAGAGGAAGAGTCATGGGTAGAAAGAAAGGGGAGAATTTTCTCAGATAAGGGAAATAAGTCTGCCAGAAATTCTGAAGTCAGTTCAGATAAGAGTGGTACATTGGCTGAAGTCTTTGGTCCTGTTTAAAGACTGTTCGGCTGTTGATTTCTTCAGAAATTGGAAGGAAATTGCAAGATCAGCTCTGGTTAAAGGCACATCCCTACCCTCTTGGGCTCCTCCTCCTAGTGGTTTTATTGAACTTAATTTCGATGGAAGTAGCATGGGTAATCCTGGTCCATCAGGTATTGGGGGTGTCTTAAGAAATGAGGAAGGTGTGATAATTGCTCTCTTTTTGGGGCCAATTGGAATGGGTGATTCTCTTAGAGCTGAGGTATCAGCTGTTATCAAAGGAACTCAAAGGGCAATTGAACCAAACATCACCAAATTGGTCATAGAGGGTGATTCTAAACTGGTAGTGGATTGGCTGAAAAATGATACTGCTAATTTTTGGAACTACAGCAATGAGAAGAGGAAATTCAATTGGATAACCAAGAAAATTGAGGTGAAGATGAGTTGGGTTAAAAGAAGTACTAGCTCCTTTGTTGATGGGGTAGCTAAACAAGGGGCAACTAGGGGCTCTTTATTCTGGGCTATCTTGTAATTTTTCTCGTCTTGTTGTTTTGGTTAGGTAAGATGAGAGTGTTTTTCTCGTCTTATTTTGGTTAGGTGAGGTAAGAGAGTTTATCTCCCTTTTGTTGTACCTTTGTATCTTTTCTCGCTAATTTTAATGGAATCTGTGAGTTATTGATCCAAAAAAAAGAAAGAAAATTCAGTCATTGGTTATAAGTAGCTTTGGAGTTATTTAATTTTCTTTATGACAATGGCAATTCTGTAGTTTTCATTTCCTCTTGTTTTAATTAGGACTGCTTACTCTTGTAGTGTCTGTATATGTGTAAAGTGCAAAACATGGATATGATGAATGAATGAAATTTATTTGGGATTTTAAAGTTTGTAAGGTGAGTGATCCAATGCCCTAGATTCATTTGAGGCACCCTGTTTAGTGATTCTAGGCTTTACTCTCTTCTTTATCTCTGTGTTTTATTTGAAGTCTTTCAAGAATCTATTATTTTCTATCAACAACCATAAGTTCTTGATTAAAAGATATTATTTCAACTTTCACGAAGTATTGAAACTGATCTAGGTGAGTTTTACTTTAATTTTCATTAACCTGAACATTTTCAATTTTGGCTGTTTTGTCTCTTTTTACCAAACCATTTTTGGTCCTGTGCCTCCATATGTCCGAACATCCTTTTATTCCTCTGGATATTATCCCAAAGTTTCATTTTCCTTAGTTTTTGAGTTCTTCCAATGCTAGAATTTTCATCATTTTGTGCCCATTGTACTCTGAACCTGACCAAACTTGGTCATCTTCTAAAACTATCCATTCTAAATTTACCTATGAAATTTCATTAAAAATGGAATCCTAGACCTATTTTCCCCAATTTGAAATTTTCACATTTTGGGATAAAACTGCAACTTTTATAGTTTGGACTCAAGATTTTTTTTTAACCTAACAAAGCCCTGTCTTTAGCCTTAAAATGATATCCTAACCCTCCTAGGTTCATCATACCTTGGTCATTTGGGTCCAACACCAATTGGAATTAGAACAAGTGGTCGTACACCAGTGATGGACTCAACTGATCCTGTGTCTGACTTAGCATTCATATGAATCAAGTAGATTTACAATTATATACACTATGTTGAGATGCCAAAATTTGAATCCTCTGAGACTTGATACATGCATGTTCATTTTGGAAAGAACTAATGTAATTAGTATGATACTGTTTTCTGATCAGCAGCGGTGGAGCCATGTATAGTGGGGGGTCCTTGTTCCCCCCAAACTTTTTTGTTAAAACCAATATTACTTATATATAGCTACTGGATGAAGGCAGGGGCGGACATGGTGGGCCTATGGTCCCCCACCCCCCAAACATAAAAGTCCCATTAAAATGTTAAGTACTACTCTGTAACTCCCTAATCCCCCTTCATAAAAAAATAATAAAAATAAAAAATGTTTATATCTTCCATAAAAAATCCATAATAGATCCAAACCCTCCCTATTTCTCTCCTAATCCTTCTTCCTTTACTCCCTCTCTCATTTTCTTTTTTTTTTCAAGACAAAAGACTATGGGAAAAGTAAGTCAATTCCTTTGAGAATTAAGTATTACTTGTGGGATTTGGCCATTTGGGAGATGCCACTACAGGTGTTATGTAATCTGTGCCATTCTTTTGTTGTACTGCCCGCATTATAGTGAGCTATGCTAGCATGGCACGGAAGTGCGGGGTGGCTTGCACAGCCTGGCCTGTGGCCCGGTGCAATTCTTTTTTTTTTATGTGGTGGGTCGTAGTAGAATTTTCCCTATATTTTATTTATAAATGTTATAATATGACACTTATAATATATACTATATATAATATTTATATTTTATAATATATAAAATAAATTTATATGCATAATATATGCCATTTAATATAAAATATTATATATATGTAAATATAATATATATGAAAGACATAGGCCTGGCCGCCTGGGCTGTTTTACACTTCTAGTTGCCACAACCTATTACCCAAAGTTATGGCAGTTTCTCTCACCCCTCATATCATTTCTGCATTTCTGACCTTGTGTAATAATATTTTTATTGTTTGTGTTTGTGTTGTGAACCCCTATAATATAATCGACTTAATATAACTTTTTCGTTAGCATAATTAGTAACTGCCGAAATTTTGTTAGGAAGATATAAAAGTAATATATAGTTATATACAAAGATTACTTCATCTAGAAAAATTGGTATCTCAACAGTCAATATTGGAAGTTCAATAATTATTCTCTTGATCATTGACAGTTAAACTCCATTGATTTTAGAAAAAAGGAGCAAGCTGAAATTCCAAACTCCTTATAATTTGGCTAACCTTGCTATCTGCCCTTTAAATCTGTACATCTTGATTCACTCCTTCAACCATACTCTTGCCACCCCAGCCAGATGTTTTATTTCCCTCATTATAGTATGTACCTCCATGATCCGGTACCATTCTTTAACCATCCTATAACTACTTCTGAATTCCCTCCTTCTACCATGCAACTATAATGTAATACTTCCTCCAATCTAAAGCCTTGTATACAACCATCAGTTCTGCCATTGTAGATCAGAAGATAAAGCAAGCATATCACCATCACTGCTTATCTTATAATTCCAAATACACCTCCAGTACCTGCCCCAAAGAGTGACCTGTCACCATGACCTAATTCCATCTTTTTACATAAAATTGAATCACATAAACCCCTTTTTTCCTTGTCTGTACAGGGTCAAAAGATCCCCCAAAAGAGCCTGATCTGTGGACCCACGTATATGCAAGTCTCAGTTCTCTTGTCTGAAGAAACCCCACAAGAGTTGGTTATTGAGTTATTGGGAATGCTTTTTTTTTTCTGAAATAATAAAGAGAAGGCTTCTGTTTTTTGGCCCAGAGTTATTGGATAAGGTTTTTGACTTTTTTCCCCTTCTTTTCATATTTTGCTGCTTTTGTTGATTTTGCAGTGACATGAACAATTAACATTTAAGTTATGTTGGCTTCTGTATTAGATATATGCAATTCCTACAATTTAGGATGCATTTTTTTTTTCTGGTTACTAGATAGTATTTTTCAGTAAAGCTCTCACCATAAGCCATTTACATTACAAGAGGATGGAGATCCAAAAATGTTGTGCCATGTACAGATTGGACAAGTTGGTGTGCACCATTTGTCCCTGTTTTACCTGGTGACATCCAATCCAATTAGTAGGGATATTGATCATTGGTTATTGTAATTTTGGGTTCCATTGCGTTTGGACAAATCTCCCCCTTATACAGCCAATTAATTTTCTATTTATTGCCACCTAGCATGTTTCCATATTGAATTAGTTACTTTTAAGGGTACTCAACTTTTTTCCTGTTTTGCAGGCTTGGGATTGTTGTGAATGGATATGAACAGATGGAAGTTGAAGAGCTGAGGTGTACATTGTCTGGTTTTCTGGATCAAGATACTTCAACCAAATGGGGTTTTCCTACTCAATTTGCTACTGTTAATGCTCTTACAAGTCTTCTCGCTCTTGATTTTAGAGAACTTGTTGAGTGTGATAATGAGCACGCAGTTACTACAAGTAGATCTGTTCATGCCAATATTTTAAGAAAGTGGTTTTCTAGGCTGAGCAAAGAGCACAAGCGCATGTTACTTGGCCTTTTCTAATCTGCTGGTGTAAATAGTTGAATACTTAACCTAGTTGTAGAGCCAAATGATTTCCATGACCAAGAGGAGTAGCATGGTGGAAACTTGAGTCGTGCATGCAATTGATGAAGGCTCTTGGTTTTGCATTAAATTTCAGATGAGTTCTATTAATGGTAAGTGACAAATTTAATTGTTTTTTCTGGAATCAAAAAATTTTGCAATCGATGAGAAAGTCAGAACATCTACTGATGCCAAGGAATTTTGTTGTATATTTCAAATTGTCAATAGTAAATTGAATTTTTGCCTTACCTTTATATCTAATTGTATGTTGCCATGGTTCACTGGTTATTTGTCTACATTTGCCTGCCGGAGCATCATCTCTTTTAAATACGGAGGTTGCATAGTGTTAATCAGATATAGTGAAAACTTCTTGGAAGCGCTTATTCTTACTGGTTCTGACTTCCGAGGCTGGAATAGATTAAAAAAAAAGCAGCATTGTAGAAAGCTCAAGGTCTTCTAGTGGTTTTGGTCCTACACAAACATATGAACCTGGCTATTTGGAAAGGGGGGGGGGTTGTTCTGGATTAGTTGCACTTTCTCATGTAAGCTAATGTAATTATGTTTCCAGGAGATGTAATTTAGAAACATACAGTACTTGGTCGTACGCTTATTCTTTTATAATGTATTCCGTTACCTTTTTTTGCAGATTTTGCAGATTGAAATTTCTATGTGAACAAAGAAATGTTCGCTAGGTGAACTTGGCATTTTTCACGCTGATACCTTTTCCTAACATTGTTTGATGTTTTAGGCTGGGCCATTTATTTAGTATTTGCCAATGTTAGCCAAAGGCCATGCTTGACTAGGCAATGGATTGCAGTTAAGATTCTTTAACTCTTGCCACTGGATTGCAGTTAAGATTCTTGAGAGAGGTTCAGTCACGTACACAAAATCGTAGGGGGAGAGAGGGCAGCTTTTCCTGATCGTCCTAGAAGGAATGAATTCCTAAGGAAGGTAGGCCATTTACCAAAATCACTTTGGAGGCGGTACCGATTTAGAGCTTAACAAGCTGGAAAACCTGGTAAGCAAATTCCAACCGACTTAAAACCTCCAATAAGAATGACCAGTTTACTGGATCATAGGCTTTTGCCATGATAAGCTTTAACATAAAGTAATTAACAGCAAACCACCTGCTTTTCATGAAATGAATGATTTCCTAGGGGATAACAGAATTATTATCCACAATGTGCCTTGATGGGAGAGTGCATTCTGATTCAAGGAAATGAGCTTGTTGAGAAGAGGCTTTAAGTCTATTTTCTAATAATATTTTAGATATTATTTTATACAAACAGTACATGGACCAATTTGCCTAAGTCAAAAGGGAGTTTTGGATCAAATTTCTTACACATAAGTAAGATAGGTCTTGTTAATTAGGGGTAAGTAAATGGGTAGGTTCTACCTGGAATCAAATGGAACTGAAATCAAATCAGCCTAGTTCCAAATTCTTGGAACCAACCCCTACCTAGGCAGTTCTAGGGTCTAGGGGTTTTTCCTACCCGAACTGATGTGGAGAACCAATTTTGGTTGGCCTTGGTGGTATCGGCCTTGGAATCAAATTTGCCTTGAAATAAATCCTAAAATACTTTGAGGATGTGAAGATTTGAATCGAAACACTCATGGTTACAAGATCATGGTCTAACTTGATTATTGAGTCACATGATTTGATAATTTTTCTTCAATTTAATATTTGAATATAATAAATAATGTAAAAGTAATATTTACAAAATTTGAATTATATTGATAAGKTATTTGTATGTCTCAATTTTAGATGATGATGATAATAGTAAAAGTGTTCAATTTTTCTACAAAGTTTATGTTTTCTATATTTTTCATGCTTTTATGTTTTTATCTTTTTCTATTTTTATTATTTCATCATACATCATGTATTGACCCATTTAACTCGGATGGTTGAATTGCTTACCCACCATGTGGACAAAAGATAGTTTCACTTTTGGGTTAATTGTTTTTAAAAGACATGGGTTATGGATTACTAAAAGAATTGGATTTAGATCTAATTAATAGTATTTATTGATGAGAAAAATCTTTAAATATAGGATATAATGAGAGAGAATTGGAGTTAAGATCTCAATTGTAAGATTTAATGAGGGAATTGAATAGTAGTTCAAATTATATTTTTTGCCTCACAATTAGATAGAAACTAAATTCAAAAAACAAGTATGTTAGTTAAAAGAAAGTCCCACAAGCTCATTCAGCAGTGTAGATATATGTATTTGATTTTTTACAATTTTCTTAATATTTCTACGTGTATAAAAATTCTGATTTATCACACTTATTTTTTGTTTAATATGATGAATATTATGTGTCCAATTGTTTTGTGCAAAATTACTATATCTTTTCATATTTTTTGTGTTTTTATCTTTTTGTTAATTTGTATTATGTAATTATTACATCAAAAGTTGACACATTTGGCCCAAAGGTTGAACCATTAACTCGTCATCAAACAATTAAACAATTTAATTTTTGGTCGGTTTTAAATTCTATATTTCATTTTTATTGTCAATAAAAACAATTCTTTTCTATCATACTTATTTTTCTGTAATTTGATTAATATGAAATGTTAGAAAAGTACACATTTTTTTTGTAAAATTTATGTATTTATATATTTTAAAAATTTTATTATCTAACTATGAAATTATGGGTTGACTGATTTGATTCAAATGGTTGAATTACTTAGTCACCACTTGGAAAAGAATGATTTTGCTTTTGGGTTGGTTTTAAAAAACATGAGTTTTGTATTATTAAAAATATTAGACATAGATTTTATTAGTAGAATTTGTTAGTGAAAAAAATAATTTAAATATAGGATTAATGAGAGAACATGGGAGTCAATACCTAAAATTTAAGACTAAATGAGAGGGAATTAAATGAGATGAAAAGTAGTAGATGGAATGTAAAATTTGTAGCCCTTGCAATTAGAGAGGGACTAAAATCACAATACAGGAAAAAATCTACTCCACACTTCCTATTATAGTACTATAGATATAGATCAACCCTCACAATTAGAGAGGGATTAAATTCACAAATAGGGGTTATGTTGGTCAAGTTTTTAAAGAACACATTTCATTTTTTTTTTTAGGGGGGGGGGGGTAAAGAAAGAACATGTTCCACAAGTAGACCTTGGAACTGATCTTGACAGGGTAGGCTCCCGGTTTCAAAAACCTGGAAGATAGGCTCTAGGTTCTGCCTTGGAACCAAACCAAACCAATCAATGCTCACCCTTATTGTTAATCACCTAATCAAATGAAGAAGTTCTGAAAACCTTCTAAATATACTTAGTTATCTCTTTACTAATAATTCTGCCGAGAGGTTTGATAGAACATGGTTGGAAGTCCATCCAAGCCCGGTGCTTTCAATGGACTCATTAAGAATACACCTTTGACATCTTCACTTGAGGGAATTCTACATGAATCTTCATTTTTATCAGCAGAAATTAAAGTACCATCATTTGATTCAGCACTAAGCATAACACAGAAATGATTGCAATAGTGTATTCAAAATAGCATTACGATCGGTGATAACATTGTCATCAAGGACTTTTAAATAAACAATTCATTTCTCTTCTTGATGATGGCCATGAAGTGGAAGAATTTTGAATTCTTATCACCAGAAGTCATCCAGTCACATTGAGCCCTTTACCTCCAATAAATGTCATCCTTAGCTGATCCTCATTTAAACAGAGCTTTATTACAATCACCACACTTGAGGTGAAACTCATGCTAAGCAAACCTTCCCCAGAAGTCTTTGAGAACCTCAGCAAAGTCTGGATCCTTAGTCCAAGCAGCTCAAAACGATTGAATTGAAAAAAATTTCTTTGACGTGGCATCATCGTTAGGAGAATCGAGGAGTGATCACTTTCAGTGGCCGGCAAATGGTTAACAGAAGCACCAGAAAATATAGAACACCAGTATGTAGAAGCAAGCTCTCTATTCAGTACTTCAAACACTAGCTGATTGATGTTACACTTATTGGACCAATTGTAAGTAGGTCCTTTGAATCCAGGATCAATAAGACCTGTTCTTTTAAGCCTCTCTCTAAAACTAAGTATTCCACTTACAAATGGATCATCACCACCATATTTTTCATCCTTGGAAAGGGTTGAGTTAAATCTCCAATTGCACACTAGGGATACGAGATAAGATGACAACACCTAGTAAAGAGGTCTGCCAAAACTCTGCTCTTTTATCAACATTATGTTCACCACAAGTATACCAACTAAGGTTGATAGGTCCCCATCAGATTCAATGCAAACCAGTAATAAAAGACTTTATTTTGGTGAAAGATAGACCACTTGAAAAAATAATTCAGCTTGCTCTAATATTTCAATTTGCTCTTTGTGGGTTGCCATTGTGGCTCTGATACCAATGATAGGTCCCAATTAGATTCATTGCAAACGGTAATAAAAGACTTTCTTTTGGTGAAAGATAGACCATTTGAAAAAAAAATTCAGCTTGCTCTATTCCAGACTAAAGTGATTACATAAATAYTAGCCCACGTAACAACTTATTCCTGAATACTAGCTAACTGACCTTGACTCTAGGAAACAAAGTCATGGAAAATACTGACTCAAAACATAAATACTAGCCCACGTAACAATTNAATACTAGCCCACGTAACAATTTATTCCTGAATACTAGCTAACTGACCTTGACTCTAGGAAACAAAGTCATGGAAAATACTGACTCAAAACATAACAATAAATACTGAAATAACAGAAACTTCAACAAATAAACTAGCCATTTGCTGAACTGATGCTGTCCAAGTCAATCCAGGAACTTGGGATTCTTCTTAGGAACACGCAAAGACCTTCTGGGTCTATTAATACTTCCCCCGCCAGGAGGAACCTTGTCCTCAAGGTTCAACGTAGGAATTTGGGTCTTGAGAAGTATCGCATTTTCCCAAGTAGCATCTTCAATGGGCAACCATTTCCACTTAACTAAACATTCTTCTAAGAACTTAGAGACCTGCTTTATTCAGCGTATCTCTAAAATCTTCTCTGGTTCCTTCTAATTGAGATCCGTCACTCCCATAGCTGTCACCATGAGATTGATTGTCGGTGTGGCATTCAAGAAGAAGTAGTTGCGGGCCTTGGCATTTATGGCCAGGAGCGAACCTCTCATCGCAACCAAAACAGAGACCTTGAACTCGTCTCTTTTGCAAGGGTTGGGAGGCTTACAGGATGAAGTGCAGCAGCTTGGGCTTGGAATGGGCGATCGAATGCAGCGGATTGAGGAGTCTTTGAGGGCTCTTTTTGACGTGGTTCTCTCCTCAAAAGCATCTACAACTTCGCACTCAATGGAGCAGGGTCAATCGCATCGGCACCAATAGGATGAAACAGACAACTACCGTCTGAACATTCTCCCTCTTCGAACCAAAATTGAGTTTCCACGATTTTTAGGGGATGATCCAACAGAGTGGTTCAATCGTGTAGCTCAGTTCTTTGAATTTCAGAGAACTCCTGAAGAGCAGAAGGTGGGCTTGGCGACTTTTCACTTGGAAGGTGAAGCGAACCAGTGGTGGCAATGGCTGAACTGGACATACAAAGAGGAAAATCGGACGGTGACTTGGACCGTGTTTTCTGAAGAGCTTTGGGCTCAATTCAGACCGACGGATGGAGAAGATTTTGATGT